AGTCATGCATAAAGTGTCAAAAAGTCAAAGTACATCGTCACACTAGCTCCGCAGTGGGTCCATTTTCACACCCAGATACTAGATTTGAGCATATACACATCGACATTGTAGGACCACTGCCGGTTTCAAATGGATACAATTATATATTTACATGCATTGACAGATTTACTCGATGACCGGTGGCAGTACCGATAAAAGATACCTCAGCCGAATTGGTAGCCAAAGCACTAGTTGAAAATTGGATTTCTTACTACGGCGTAACAGCGATCATCACAACTGATAGAGGAGCTCAATTTGGAAAGTCGACTCTTTCAACAGATTACAGAACTCCTCGGTATTAAACGAATTCGAACGACATCTTACCATCCAATGGCAAACGGAATGGTCGAACGCCTACACAGGCAATTAAAAGCATCTCTTACATCCGTCATTGTTAACAATGATTGGGCCAATAAGCTTCCTCTAGTAATGTTAGGTTTAAGAGCAACAATTAAACAAGATATGGGATGTTTTCCAGCCGAGTTGGTATACGGAACTACTCTACGGTTAATCGATTTCAACTACCGTTGGGGTTTATACGATAACGGTTACGAGGGTGGTTGGTCAACGAAGCACAGCCACTACAAGCCAACTTGATGTAATCAAGCGTTATTCAATTTTTAAAGTCAGATAAAAGTAATTTACAGACTTGTAATGAATGTGATAGAAAATGAACACACATGAGCTTACATGAATACAATCATGACTGATAAGCGAATAATTAACAAGGTCAAAATGTAGCTTCAGAATGGCGAAATAAGCTATGTGGGCACAACATAGGATCAACTAACACATGGTAAATCAGTTGTCTGCATTTGTGTTCTATATGTGAAAAATTTGGTGAAATAGCTTTGTGAATTCCTCAAATCATAGTAGATCTACCAAGATATCACGAGATCAGATCTTTTAATAACTCCAGATCAGCTAGTGAAAACTTGTTGCAGGAATTTAACCTCGGTAGTCAAATAAGGACTCGTGACGTTAGCTTGTCCTACGGTTTTAACTTGATCAAATTCCAGAAGTGAATTTTCAAGAATGTTCATAGGGGTCGCCAGTCAGATAAACCTGACAAGGAAATGAAAGCTTATGGCGAGAATCAGAAGGAATTGTTATTTACGTCACTACTCATCGCTAGTGTACTTGCGTTTGGTAAAGTATTTCTATGGTGTGGAACCTTATAGGAGTTCATCTGATAATCCGAATTCTAGGTCATACTTCATGTTCCAGACTATGTATAAATGTTATAATTATTAAATGATTACCAAATACTTTATGAGATACCGAGAGCCTTGCTCAAACCAAGTAAAATATTTGCTTGAAAGTTGGGTATAGATTGATGTTATCACAAACTGGATAAGTCGAAGATACAAATAGGTGGTAACAAATTTTATTTCGAGTGTTATATTGGAGATTCTTAGGCTTATAATTTTGAAGTATAATGAAATCTCCTCCGTCGTGTCCTCAGATTTTAGTGGTCTGACATTGTCAGGATAACCCTATTCGTTAATGCTATATTACAGCAACTAAAAGTTTATGGCCTAAAGCCATTTTCGAGCAAGTAAAATACAACTTTGGCGGGTGGGTTCAAACAGCGACGTTGGGGACGACAATCAATGAAGTCATTAGGGATTCACGAAACATATGCTCACTTGAAGAAACCAGTTGTTCAACGACGAAGATGCAGGATAATGGGAGTGATGTGCTTTTCGAGGGGATTAGGGGGTGCACCGATACACAGACCCAATCATAATTTTCAACGTTTATCATAAACGATATGACGTTAGTTGACTCATTTTTTCTATCCTATTGTTACTGATTGGTATGTTATTTCTCTTTTTCTGTCTAATAAACTGAACCACTTGTTTTCTGTCTACTGACAGTAAGAATTTACATTTCAGATACAGATAAAGTCTATCAAGCCAAATACCTTACTTGTCCTAAATTGGTTAAACTACGACTTTGTGCTCGGTAGTTTGGGGACTAGTTTAGATTCGCGTCTCAAAGATCTTACTAACGAGAAGTATTTTAACTAGATTATTCACGATTTCTCCTTGTGAACTAATTACTTTGGCACTGAACGGACTTTAATGCCCTAGTTCTACTATTAGTCGAAAACCACATCATTTAGGCAAAAACTCGTTTGCTGTTGACTACTGATTTTAGCATCTTTATTTTATGTACATCATGTTCAATCTATCCTGCAGCGTACAAATAAATGTTTATTTTTCTCCCTCTGCATTATTTCGTGATGAATAGCCCTTCCCGTTTACTTGACCCTTGCCCGACCACCTTGGAGTGGTGGTTGGGCTTGCCTATCGTAATGAACCAACTGAGCTATACTGGCTGAAACGATCGTTCCTCAAGATTAGCTGAAGAACGGCAAGACTAAAAGCAACGAACGGAAGGTCCGAAGTCGTACTGCTGGCTGTACAGAAGCGCGGTGGCGGTGAAGTGTTCCCTTCAGACAACCAGCGTAAAAGCGGCACTGCCTTGCCGCAAGGAGAGGTGGGGTTAGAAAAGGCAGATGCAAAAAATGCACAACTCGCCTTGTCTCACGGATAAGATGTCGGAAAGTACGGAGTTGACCTCAACCAATTGTCCCTTGGGTACTGCAGTCACGCTTTCAGGTCACTATGACCACCCCTAACGGGATTTCACTTTTAAGAACTTCCCGTTCCTGGTGTAAGAAACCGGGAAATGATGACCGTTCTCACACCTTTAACAGCACTCAAGATCGATGTATTCATAATCAATCTCCTTCTACAATTCCTATTGTTCCTCCTATGCCGACCTTCTACTTCAAACTTCCTCTTTTGGCTTCCTCCTCGAGCGTTACTATAGCCAACGATTCTAGTGAGCGAAATACTGTCCAAAGTCTACTGAAACCTTTGCAGCCTTGAATCGGCCAGCAGGGTTCCCTCGCTAAGACCCTAGAATCTCATTCGATTGATGTACATTGTGTCTCCGAAACACGCACACAGGATCCTAGTGTGATCATTCACTTGACCTCACCTCGGCAAAACGGAGAGCCGACGATATACACCTTCCGTGTATCTGGCGACCCGATGGCTAGTTCTCGTGGACTGGCAGGTGTAGGCATAGCACTTAGCATGAGGGCGGAACAAGCGCTATTAGAGTGGATCTCCGTTAACAGTCATCTATGCGCTGTTCGGCTAAATGGCTCCGTAAGAACTCGAAAGGATAGGGACACACGTCGTTGCCTTTTCGTCGTTTCTGCCTACGCTCCCACTGACTGAAGTTCGGATGAAGTGAAAGATGAATTTTACAGAAAGCTGTTTGGACTTCTTCAGAAAGCTAAACGTTCAAACATAGTACTCGTAGCAGGTGACTTGAATGCTCAAGTTGATAGTTTGAACCAAGCAGAAAGACATTTAAATGGGAGACATCGTCTAACATGGCGACCCCCTGCACCAAGCTAACGGTGAACTCAAATAGACCATATCTCCATCAGTGATCGTTTTAGAAGCTGGATAGAAGACTGTCGCTCGTTACGAAACAAATGTTTAGACTCTGATCGTGTTGTAATACGAGCACACATTTGCTTGCATTTTACTGGACGCAGAAATGCCACATTAAAAATACCGATTCGAGTTGAACTGAGCGATAAGAAAGCTGAAGGTAAATTCCATGAACAAATGAAATCGCACCATGGCAATTTTGAAAACGAAACTGACCCAGATATTGTTTGGAAAGATATACAAACATCTGTGGAAGCAGCAGTGACTTCTATTAGTTATTTGAACCAAAGGGTTACGAAAAACCGGTGGATATCTGCCCCAATTTTTGCACCAAAAGAGATGGATAAGGAAGTGAGTATAAGTAGCACAGGATAGCTTATCAGACTAATAAAAGGGACTGGAACTAAGCCGTCACATGCAAGTGAGACAATCTCGGAAACTGAAGACACTCTTGACTGTTCCCAGTCTAAATGTTTAGGACGATGTGCGGAGCACTTTAGAAGGCAGTTTAAATGGTCTTCAGCTACCCACCATTTGCAAATAACCTGTGTGAAACATTAAAATAGGCCTCTGACTCTTACTAAAATTCAAAAAGCTGTAGCTAATCTGAAATGAGGAGGAGCATCTGGTTCAAAATGATTAACTTCCGATGTCTTTTAGGATGGTGGTCTAATTTTAGCGATTAGGTTAACTGATATTTTAGCTAAAATCTGGGAGTTGGCTGAATCCCATGTAATTGGTCACAATCACCGATCGTCCCAATATATAAGAATGGGTCAAAATCATCCTGTGATAACCATAGAGGGATTAGTTTGACTAAGATAGCGTGTAAAATACTAACCTCAATAATTATCGGACGCCTAACAAAGGCTCGTGAGCTGCAAATACGAGGAAGTCAGGCTGGCTTCAGACCTGGTCGTGGCTGTATTGACCACATATTCACCGTTCGTCAGATTTTAGAACACAGGCATACTTATCGGCGTCTGACAAGGATAGTTTTTCTTGACCTAAAAGCATTGTTTGACTCTGCAGGTCGAGAGCTTCTGTGACTGTGTCTGTCATTGAAAGGTGTACCTCAGTAGTGCGTAAACCTTGAGGGCTCTTTACTCGAACACTACCAGTCGAGTCAGAGCTTATGGCAAAGTGTCATCTGATTTTGGTGTCCGTCAAGGCTGTTCACTATCTCCATTTTCGTTCAACTTCATCATAGACATACTGGTGGAAATAACGTTCCATTGTCTGAGTTTGACATTTCCCAACTTACGTCACCTGTAGTGAAAACGAGATATCCGTTTATCAATTAAAAAACGTGTATATTGCACATCAGTTGCAGTACACTTCCAGTTCGTTGGAAACACCCATCAATTAGTTCTTATGATTCCTAACGTTCTTTCTCGCAGTCTTATTTCATAAAAAGCTATTAGTTCCGCAGTTGTTGGTAGTTTGTAAAATCTAATATCTGCAACCAGGAAAATTTCAAAACAAATGTAGTGATCTTTTAAATATTGTAAAATATCTTGTACAGATCTGATTACTAATACAAAAACTAAACGAATGTTGGTTACTATATATTCGCTAGGAAAAAACTCAGAGACACACGAGCATAAACTTGAATATCAGTTTTTATCAGATAAGTTACGGGGGGTTATAAAATCATAAAAGGAGGCGGACTAACCACTATTCACCAGCATATAGTAATTAAAATAAGGTCAAACAAAGATAGTATTACATTAATGATAATCAGGAGTAGGAAAAATATAAAAAAACATCAGAATATACGATTGACTGACAATCAAACATGTACATTCGAATCTAACGAAACAGAAGATGAATAGCAAGTCGTCTATTCAAAGTTTAAAAACGTCTAACGATTTTATTAACAAGAAATAAGGAAAAAAAATAAACTAGACAATAAAAGACAAAATGATTAGTTACATTAAGTTAAATTGTCCATTGATTCGAATCACAATAAGGAAGCTAGTGTTTAGAAAAAGTACCATCTCACCGTAGAATTAGGCTTCATTCAACCCATCAATAACGCCTCTATCTCTGTCTTTATTAAGATTATGATTATTTAAGACTTCTTTCATTGAATCCATAGGTTCCAGATTAAAATGAATATTTGGATTCATATGAGGATCTAATAATGGATCACCAGTGATATCCTTCGGTTGAGAACCAAAAAAACCCAGTAGGAAAATAGATATTATACAACCCATAATTAATAGAATAAGACGATTTCGTCGAATAACCGATAAACGTGTAAAATGTGATGAATGCCTCCTGGAGAAGAAAATAAATAACCATAACAATATCAATAACTATGCATACATATGAGGAAAGTTACTTCATACTAAAATATGTTAGTTTTCAAATGAAAAGATTGTTAGTTTTAGCACATACAGGAACTCAAATATTCTCTCATTTTCTGACGTAGTTTTTGTGTAGTAAAAATGAAAACCTTAGAATAAAGTACGAATGATTTTGGTCACGTTTCGAACATCTGTTCAAACCTCACAAACTGAAGTATGCTAAACATTCATTAATAATTATATTTATATTAATAATTGTAAGTTTGGGTTGTATGCAGATGATAATAAACTGTGAAATAGAATGAATCCATTTTATTTTGTAAACGTTGTTGTCTAAATTTATTAACGGATCAAATTATATAGAAACAAGAATTGGTTTGCTTTTGAGTTTGATAAGCTGTTAAACCATTGCTGAGCACTAAACAGAAAAGGTAATTTCTAATATCAAACGGAAAAAAATGTTGCACAATATATTTCGGTGTTTTGACATAAAATAAACTTTAAACTATTTTTAATTACACAAATAAAGTGTAGAAGTTTCAAGGAATGAAAAGATCAATACAGAAGTTATTTGAGTGGTACGATTTGGCAAAAGTATCTGCTTATATCGATAGCTGTGGATTATTCTAGACCAACATTTATTGTTCATGAGTTATAGTAGATCAAATATACATTTTAGAATAAATGATAATGAAATGTTTATCAATAATGAATAATTGTAATCACAGAATCAATGAACTAGTTTTATGATAAACCCAACGCTAACGAAATAGTAAGTATCGACCCTCCGAATAATGTGATGATTGATGTCTGAAAGTTCAGTTCCTTACTTATCTGTCTTGTAAATCGACCATAGAGCGGAGATAACATGAAAAAGTTCTTAACAGACACATAAGTTGGCCTAATGTCTTGTTATTTAAAATTTAACCCGATATTTAATAATTCTTACTGTTTCAGACTTGGTTGTCATATGTACTGTATATCATAATGTTGGAGGAGTCTGTCCTCCGTAAATAATCTAATTAACCTAGGGTGCCAAATGTTTTAAGGCGACAAGCAAAGAACGACAGTTGGGGAAGAGGCAATCTTACCGGAGGAAACGTCTGAGCCATGCGAATGTTAGATGTCGTTTATATTTATCATTATCATCATTTTCGGACATGAACAGCTTCTGGGAGTTTAATGATGGTTGATCTCTTCGTTGATAATGTAGCTGGGAAATATCAGTATACATATTAGTGTCCTTAGAATTGTCTATCTGGAATCCTGTTGTTTTCTGAGGACTCTCCAATATGTCTGTAACGTCATGTCCTTTCAAAAATTGTCTTGCAGCTACATCTAGACATGAATTGAGAAGCTTTCCATTTGTTGGATCTAAAATTGAAATCGACATATATAGCGAGAAAGGTTAGATCAGGTGGCCAACAACGTCAGGGAATCGTCAGATACAAAAATATACTGTTCTTAGATGAGGTCAGTCTACAGAAAACCCAATGAGTTATTATTTGTATTTTAAGCACCAAAAGGATCAGTATGTTACAGATAATCAAAGTAATCAATAGGCACACCAATTTACGTCCGCTATACAAAATATTACGAACAAGAACAATGTGTTTAATCGTTAATTTCGAACGTTTAGATGATTACAACAGGAGGCCCTACAATACTCCCCTACAAGGTTCAGAAAATCAGTCAGAACTCATGGACTAAAATCATAACCCTACTAACCATCTGAGGTTTCTCTTACCGTGCTCCTAATTTATCAGAGTATGTTATATTACATGGTAGACACGGGTAAGCAATATTTAACAACCATCTCAAATAAAATTATTTTTAACTGGAATGTTGCTATTTTAATTCAGTACAAAAAACAGGTAGCGAAACTGTTGGCTAGATGACATGTAGCAAATCACTAGGGCTACATAGATAAGTCGTGGATTTAATAACAACTAACTAAATGTAAGTTTATAAACTTGGTACCACGGAAGATAGATACTCGAATTCACTACAACCCGGTCGAGGGTTTGATATGTTAACAACAAGACTGCTTTTTCTATAGTGATTTTACAGTTGTTGCTCTTTTACACTGGCCGTGATAATCATCTTCCTCTTATTTCACGTTTTTGTTTCCTCTAAGACTGTATTCAAACGGTGAATCATTCCCATAGCATATTAAAATGTTTTACCAAAACATTTCTTATTTGTAAACATTTTTCAATGGTGTACACTAGGTTGTGTGTTTACTAACTAACCGTTTGAACATTTGATCAACAGTAATACAAATCAAACGACAACCCTAATAAGGTTAGTTTCACATTCAAAACAAAACCGAGTATGAAGGAGAGTTTATCTATCGAAAATTAAGAAATATGATTTTGAACTAGTCATGTACATGTGATTTGAGACCCTGAAGAGACATATGCTAGAGAACCTACTATGATCACAGAGTATCATATGAATGGATTGCCTGATCATCACATAAACGGAATACTTACATTTTACACTCAAAAGCAGATGGTCACTTAGGAAAGCCATATGCTTCTGTTACATCTAAGTAACATTACTACACATATAAATGTTGATCCGAAATGGATAGGGTTAAACCTCCCTATAAAGCCATGGTTGAAAAAATTAAGTACATTGTTATACTCACACTTGATTATTTTATAAATATTTGCCGATTTACTTTCCTGTGATTTGACTCTAAATCATCTTAACTTTAATCTCATCACTCAAAAGCTTTACTTAATTAGAATCCCGATCTTACTTAAATAGCAGCTTTTTAACGCTGTAGACAAACATGGCAACTAGTTCATTTGAAACTTTGTTTACCACTTGGGCAAGTTCTTTTAAACATTAGAGTTTTAAGGGACTGAGTTACAATGAGATTTTATGAAAGGTCTTAACGTTAAGGTGCGCTGCCATTTTCATGAGATTTCTGAAAAGCACTAAAAATCCAATATCTCACCTGCCGGATTCAAAACTACTTTGTTTAGACTCCTTGGTGCGAGGATTATTGTTGCATTGAGACCTATAGCCGAAATGGCACAATTAATTGTGTTTATGTACTGTCAGTTTAAAACTTTTGGCCAAATAAGCAGCTAGAGAATGGTATTGTTTTGTGAGCTTTGCTTGATCCTTAGCAGACTGTAGCCAGAATAAGAGAAATAATCAAATTTGCAACAACTGTACTTGATCGACAGATATTGTGGTGCAAGTTGGACAAGAGGGTGGGTGAGTAGAGAAGTCACTTAGCTCCGCAAAGAAAACTTGTTTTCCGGAGGTCAGATATCAGTTATCGTACCCAATAGATATTTAAAAACTGCATGTTGGTTTTGCACAAGTGAAATCCCGGTATAGCCATCACAGACACACCAAGTGACATTTTCTTCCTGAAAGTAAAGCCTAGATCCAAACAAACTACACTGGAACCAACTGTAGCCTAAATAGATGTGTATTGGAAGGCTTATTTCGAGAACAATGCCTTGCTTTCGATCATTAGTGTCAAACACTTCGGAAGTCAACGGGCTAGTCATCTAAGACAGATTAAAGTGAGAAAATCGATTGTATCTACTATGGTAAACAAACTACCTAAATATGAGACTAGATATCATTTCACCAAAATCAGGAAATGAGAATTTGTTTAAATTGGAAATCATCACGAAAATAAATCCCATACAAAATAGAATTTACTAAACAGCAGTCACATAAAATCCACTGCTGGGTAACAGCTGAAGATATTATGCTTGCTATTAACTAATCCGGCGTAATATGAACGAAAAGCTCACTTGAAACACAGATGTTCATGTTAGGTGTTGATGTGGACTTCGGATGACCTTCCAGATGGAAAAATGGCCTTATTTCATTCAAACTTTCTTTGGCCCAACCAACTTCGCTTAAACATGATCTGAGCGCTTCTGCGACAGGACCGCCATGATTAGCCTGAGGAATGATTGGTTGGCCACATAACGGGCACAAAAATCCTGCTGGGGTTGTAGTTGGTGGCAAGCTCATTACGTAATTATTGAGGCAATTCCAGTGAAAGACATCTAAAAAAAGGTTGTTTACTCAAATACAAGTTCTACGTTTCACAAACCAAGGCACACCAAACGGATACATTTTTTGGAAGGATCCGCTTCGAAAGGCTCGTGACAAATGCTACATGATGGGTTAAAATCACTGTCCTTTATCCATCGAAGATAGGATTTAACAATGCACTACTGTAATAAAACTCATCAAGCACTTCCATACCTTGTGGTGATTTGCCACCAAACAAAATTCGCACACATTAACCCGATGCTCGAAACAAAATAGGTTAGTTACCCGTCTCCGTTCACACTTACATAAACCCATTAGAATCAAAGTCTACGACACAAACATTACGAAAATGCCAACAGTTCAGTAACTTTAAGATAGTGTCACATGATATCCTTCAAAATTGAGTAATTAAAACAATCACTTTAAAGAACGGTTACATGTAATAATGCAAACGTCGATTGGATGACGGAAGATATTATTAAGACCGAAAACGTATACACTGAAGTCAAAATACGTATTTCGTATTATCATTTTCTAAGAATTTGCTTAGTGTGTTACTATTATCAAGCCTCAAGAGCTGCCTCTTTCTGTTTTTATATGACGAGACTTGCCATTTTAAGAGATCATCTTTCCAGTTTTGTCGTGACTTTCTTTATCTTTGTTCATTTGGTTTGTGGTGAAACATTGTTTGTTTGACACTTTAGTGAGTTGCTTGCAATCAAACGGCAAAGTGCTATCCTTCTGCCGAGTTAACCATGTGCTTGAAATTAATGAAAAGCACGAAAATTAACCGATCATAAAGGCTCTACCACGATTCTTTTTATCAATTGGCAGGTAGGTTATATATTTAGGAAGATAATAAAAGTGTTGACCTGTAGCGTGGTGTCGAGTTGAGCTGAACTATGAACACCGCTACCAGACTACTTGCCAATAGACCAATAAAATTCCGATAGGCCAAAATATCAGAAGGCAGATGATTGTAGTAGTCGTATATATTTGTTGGCGATCTCGTGGTATCGAAAGAATACCGAGATCGTGCCAAAGGAGTACAGTTGCGATCGGCAAGATAAGATACGTGCGTAGTCAAAAGCCGCGTAAAAGCAATGGAATACAATGGAAGCCCAAAATGGCTGTTATTAGCACAGTTAAACAAACGAGCACAGTAAAACAGTCACTGGTACAATTGGTTATAATAATAATTGTTTTCATCGAACCAATCGCGTTCTGTTGACAAAAGTAGGTCACTACAGGAGCCCCCCGCTAGAAAGGGTTTACACTTTCGATAGTTAGCGGTTTGATTCGTGGGACTGATCGGCAGAATTGCGGTTGTAGGACGGAGGAAATTGGCGGAACAGGAAGTGATCGTTGATCCTCGAGTTGCCAACGAAGGTCTTTTGCGCAGAACGGTACCAGAAGTGTGCTGTATTTGTTGGTCGAATTAGCATACCACACCAGAGTGGTTTGTATCCAGAATCTGATGATTGCGTTCGTAGGGATGTGAACCAGAAAACGCTGCAGACGTAGGACGAAACCACGTGGAGCCAAGAAACCGGACGCGACCATAACTACCAAGCATATGCCAGGCGAATTCGAGACCAGATAATCGACTGAGTGCGTTGACTAGAGCGTGGGTGGCCAAACCAGCTTTCGCCAAAGTTGACTGAAGTCGACGTTATCAAATGGACGATGGTCGTAGGCGTGGGCTCAGGATACAGAAAAGAAATCAAAAAAAGAAAAGTGTAGCATGCGTGTAGTATAGGAATAATCCTACACCGTATGTTATTGACTGTGCGTTTAGTCGCGAAAGCGTACGGGTAATCGTACTCGGCGACCGGAACGTGAGACGGTGGTCTTGTTCGTACTTCGTGAGCCTGCAATCTCATCCGAGGTCAAGGGCGGCGTGGTCTGCCGATCTGGACGTGAGACGGAAGTCTCGTCCGTAGATGGTGCAGATGACGCGTGCTGTTGACCGGGACGTGAGAACGAGGTCTCTGATGTTTCTAGCGTGGGATCCGAGGTAGACGTAGAGATCCCGCTAGAAGGTTTGATAGGTCTAGCATTGAGTCTCGAGTTATCGGGTAGGGCACTGTCATCGACGTGTGCTGGTTTGAGACGATCAATGCTGACGATCTCGACGCGGCCGTGTCGATCAACCTTGAAGGTCTTTTCGTGACGAGAGATCACGTGAAAAGGGCCTTCGTAAGGCTGTTGCAAAGGTTTGCGTACCGAATCTACTCGTATGAAAACATGTGAACAGGTAGATAACTCTCGAGGGAGAGCGACCTGTCGATGTTGTATTCGAGTTGACACCGGAGACAGCGTTCGCATAAATGCAGACAGTCGATGGACGTAGTCTGATTTACCGAAATCATTACTGCTCCGTGGTGTGAAGAATTCCCCAGGCAGACGCAATGTCGTGCCGTATACAAGTTCAGCGGCGGAACATTGAATATCTGCCTTCAAACTCGTTCTGATGCCTAAGAGAACGAGCGGTAAGGTTTCGTACCAATCGTCGTTTTCGTGTGCTCGGAGAGCACTTTTAAGTTGGCGATGAAACCGTTCGACTAAACCATTCGATGCTGGATGGTAGGCGGTAGTGCGTATGCGTTCCGTACCAAGCAGCCGGGTCAGTGAGGAGAATAATGCGGGCTCAAATTGTTGTCCTCGGTCAGTCGTGACAGTCGAGGGACAACCGTACAATGCTATCCATCGTTCTACGAAGCGGTGAGCAGTTGTCTCCGCCGTGATAGACGTGATGGGGATAGCTTCGGGCCATCTTGTAAAACGATCAATGCACGTGAGTATGTGATCATACCCATGCGATGGTGGCAATGGTCCTACAATGTCTATATGAACGTGATCAAAGCGAGCATCAGGCGTAGCGAACGTGCCAATGGGGGCAGCTACGTGCCTGTGCACTTTCGATCGTTGACACTGTAAGCATTGCTTTACCCACATACGAACATCTTTATTCATGGATGACCAGACGTATCGTGCAGCGATGAGGCGTAATGTGGCTGCGATACCTGGATGAGACAATCCATGAAGGGCATCGAAGACGAGACGGCGATAGGTAGAGGGTACGATGGGTCGAGGGAGACCGGTAGAAATATCACATAGGATAGTACCTGAGCTAGTAGCTAGGGGTACTTCCTGACACTGAAGGGACGAAGATTGTGGTGCTTCTGTACAGACAGGATCGTTTGCTTGCGCGGCGGCCATAGCAGGAAGATCGAGCACCGGTAAGGTAACTGCATTCGTCTGGATACGTGATAGAGCATCGGCAACATAGTTCGACTCGCCTTTAATGTGACGAAGGTCTGTCGTGAACTGGGAGATATAGTCCAAATGTCTGCACTCTCGTGGTGAGTAGCGGTCAGACTTGGTATGCAGGGCATACGTTAAGGGCTTATGGTCGGTGAATAAAATGAATTGGCGTCCTTCTACTGCGTGCCGGAAATGTTTGATGGCGCAGTAGGCTGCAAGCAGTTCGCGACCAAAAGCGCTATATCTCGTCTCCGTGGGAGTAAGGCGTCGTGAGAAAAATTCAAGCGGTTGCCAACTACCGGAGATATTCTGTTGCATAACGGCTCCTATAGCAAAATCCGATGCATCAACCGCTATACTAAGCGTGGCTGATGGGTCAGGATGAGCGAGGAGTGTAACTTCAGCGAGAGCCGTTTTGATCTCTGAGAATGCAGTACGTGCGGTATCGTTCAGTTCTAATTTGCGTGGATTACCGCGTAGTAAATCGGTTAGTGGTCGTAACCGTTCTGCCGCGTGAGGGATAAAACGTCGGTAGAAGTTAACCAAACCGAGAAAAGCCTTCAGTTCCTTGATTGAGGACGGCACGTTGTACTCCTTGATTGCTCAAATTTTGTCCTCGCAAGGCAGAATACCCTCTTGTCTGATGATGTGACCCAGAAATATTATTTCTGATTTACCCAACTCACATTTCTCTGGGTTGACTACTATTCCATTATCCGAAAGACGTTGGAATAATAGCGTAAGGTGTTGATAATGTTCATCTACGTTTGATGATGCGATCAGCAGGTCATCAATATAGACGTGAACAAAATCCAAGTCTCGTACTATGCTATCGATAAACCTTTGAAAAGTTTGAGCAGCATTCCGTAATCCAAATGGCATTCGTAGGAACTCAAACAGACCGAAAGGAGTCGTGATAGCAGTTTTTTCGATATCTTCAAGAGCGACTGGGATCTGGTGATATGCTCGTACCAGATCGATTTTAGAAAAGATAGTCATGCCCTTGAGCGATGCCGTGATGTCGTGTATGTGGGGGATGGGGTAGCTATCAAAGCGCGTAACTACGTTTAATGCTCGGTAGTCGCCGCAAGGTCTCCAACTAACTCCATCCTTTTTGCGCACCATGTGTAAAGGAGAGGCCCAAGGACTGTGAGAAGGACGAATAATACCAGCAGATAGTAAATTGTCAAACTCACGTTTAGCGAAAGCTAATTTGTCCGGTGCCAGTCGGCGTGGTCTTGCCGTGACTGGTGGTCCGCGGGTGACTATGTGGTGTACCACACGATTGGTCACCGATGAAATCTCCTCGAATGGTTTAGTTAATCTGGGGAATTTCTCGAATAAGGCGTGGAATTTATCGTCACGCGAATAAAAAGTGCCGAGGATTCGGTACGCGTACATCGGAGTCTATTATATTAATACTATTCTTATCGTTATCCGTCATGTCAAATATATTATATATTAAAAATTAATATGAAAATATATGACAGACGTGGATAGATAAGCGATAGACTCACCAAAATTGACTTCTTTGGAAGGTTTGGTTGCGATTGCCAAGTGGTCGTAGATGTAGGTTCACCAGTTGCAGAAGATTTGACCGAAGTTGAGGCGTGTTCCAAAATTTGGGTCACCAAATGTAGCGTGGTGTCGAGTTGAGCTGAACTATGAACACCGCTACCAGACTACTTGCCAATAGACCAATAAAATTCCGATAGGCCAAAATATCAGAAGGCAGATGATTGTAGTAGTCGTATATATTTGTTGGCGATCTCGTGGTATCGAAAGAATACCGAGATCGTGCCAAAGGAGTACAGTTGCGATCGGCAAGATAAGATACGTGCGTAGTCAAAAGCCGCGTAAAAGCAATGGAATACAATGGAAGCCCAAAATGGCTGTTATTAGCACAGTTAAACAAACGAGCACAGTAAAACAGTCACTGGTACAATTGGTTATAATAATAATTGTTTTCATCGAACCAATCGCGTTCTGTTGACAAAAGTAGGTCACTACAGACCTATCCCTTGGCCACTAAGGTATTTAGCATGACT